AAAAATATTTGCAATCTCTGTATTTTCACTGTAATTTTCAGTGCTCAACATAAAAACGAGTTTGAAAGCAAAAGAGCCTTTGGAGCAATTAATAAGCAGAGTCAATGAATGGGGATGTTGGATAAGCAATATTAAATTCAAGATAGAGGCAGCATTAGGTAAAAGTCAGAGCTCATGTACACGAGTGAACAAACAATTCCAGGTTGCAAAGTGAAACAAACATTGATGCAAAACTGTTAAGTAAATTGCAAACTAATATTTCAGGGTAAAATTCAGTTCTGTCTGCTGGTACAAAGCAACCCAGCACTGAACCTGGGCCTTTTAAAACAAGCTGCTGAAAGCATGCTTTATGTGGTGGTTCATCTCCTCTGGAGGAGAATTCTTAAGCAGCAGACAGAAAACACACCAGTGTGGTACGTACAGCAAACTCTCCCCCTTTCAACTGGAGTCAGAGTTTAGATCAGAGCTCCCCTACAAACTGTGCAATGTCAGCACACTGACAACACCTGATGTGCAGGGGCTACAGGAGCATGTTAAGAGCTTGTTCTAGCAGCCAACTTTTAACACGTGTTTGATAAAAGGCATGATTTTAATTTCAAAGCTGATATGGCTCTTTGTAAAGCTAGATCCCAAGAAAAAGACTTGCTGCAGTAAATCCAGAGACTTTTTTGATCTGACATCTCGAAATTCTCACCTTTAAGAATTATTTTTCAAAGCAGGAGGACAGCCTGTGTTTTCAATCAGGCTGCTTCAGCCAGCTAGGAAATGCTGCTTAGCTTCATAAATGTTCACAGGACTGAGCAGAACAGTAAAAATTAGTATAATCCACTAAGGTTCACGTCCTGAATTACTAAGTAAGCAGCAGGGAATATTATATTGTTCTTATAATTCAAACTATAGTATGAAAAAATAGTTGCTATCATCCATGCTGAACTCAAAGAGAACCATTTAGGTGTATTTCCCTCTGCCCACACCAATAACCTCTCAAACACCTGATTTCAGGATGTTACCTTGGATAATGTACAAATGCATTGCTACATGTATACCAACACTTCTAGAGAACCTTTTAAACATGTTTAAAAGAACAGGATGGAAATGCTACAGATAAATAACAGATGAGACTAAGCAAATTATCTACAGCAGAATGTTAAGAGTGCAAAGCACTGCACATTCTGCTGAAATTTATCCTGAAGTCTGTGAATGAAAGTATTCATTGTTACAGACTGTCCTGGAGCAATTGAATTCTGCTTTTAGTTATAAGGCTGTGTTTACATTTCAGTACTTTGTAACTCTAGCTAAGCTAAGCTTTTTACCTGTCTGGCTCAGATGTCAGGTTGAGAAGAGCTGTGGAAGCAGAGAACTAAGTCTGGTCTACTTTGGCAAAGTTATTCTCTGCTTATATACTAGTTATCTTTAATTGAATTACTCACTGATTTGTTAACATGTGCCCCTGAGTAGTTCACAGTCTAGCAGGCTGTAACTTGGCTACACTGAACCTTCCTCCTACAGCAACAATCTATTATCTGAAAAGCAGCTTCCTTTCTAAAGCAACTCCTGTCTGGAACAGCCAGCCCTTACCTGGGAGAGGTTCCATTGAGCTTGTTGGTTTTGTTGCAATCCAAACTTGTTTTGTGGTGGTGTGACCATCTGTCCCACCATTCCACCTTGAGGTCCAACGACATTCTGAGGAAGTCCCATCACACCAGTTTGTGTAGTACCAGTAAATCCATTGGGCATTCCCATTCCTACCATAACACCTGTGCTCTGTCCCATGACTGGCACCGACTGTCCCATCATGTTCCCCATCATCCCAGTTGCTGCTGGCACAGGAACTCCCATGGCTGGAAAGCCTTGAAAGTGAGTTGATGGTTGTGTGGTGAATGGCATTGAAGACGACCCCATGAACATACCTGTACCACAGAAAGGAAGATTTCAGCTAAAATGCCTTGTGATTTTCCTCCCCCATCCCTGTATGTCAGAAGTGCACTAAAACTATTTCAAAGGATAACTGCGTCCAGTTGTACATCAGTGCTGCTAATTTAGCTTCTAGTAAAAGGAAAAAACTGTTTTAAAACTCATAGGAAAAGGACTAAGCACGAGGCTAACTGCCAAGAAGAGTTTGGCAAATCTCTTTGGTGAACCAGAATCTTTTAACAGCTGCATTGGAGGTCTTCATTTTCCACAAACACAGCTAACCCCAAGCTCTGACAGCTCCATGTGGATCCTGGCAGCCTGCTGGCTGCACAGTGGAGACTCAGCCCTTCAGCAGTGAATTACACAGTGGAAGCTGAGTTCACAAATCTTTCAGTAAATTGTACACCTGATAATTTGAACAGCTATAAACAAATTAAAATCACACACTGTGTTTTCCTTTAGCTTCTGTATCACACTTCAGTCATTTTCTCAGTTTTAGAAAAGGTAAAAATCTTCACCTGAATACAGTTAGCAGGTAGCCAACCTTAGCTTTATACTCATAGGAGGTAACTCTTCTGGGTAAAGCTTAAAATAGGACTGCACAGAAACCTTCCCAAAATGACTTACCTGGAGCATTTTGCTGCTGCATGGTTCCTGTGCCATACAGTGATAAGATGGAGTCTTTGGAGAGTTGTTTCTTTGCTGACTCTTCAGATTTTGTTGTTTGCTCAGTAAACAGATCAAGGTCTCCGGATGCTGCAGACAAGGTGGCAGCTGCTGGTTTAGTGGAAGTGCTCTGGGAAACGAAAGTCAAGACAGACTACTGAATGCAATGTGCACAAGATGTTATGCTAAATATTTACTGCACAGCCTTGCTCCTCCACCAAATAAACCCTGCTCGTTTACAGAAACTAAACTGAAGTAAATGAGGATTTAAAAAGATGTGGTAGGACTAAAGACAAAAAAGCAGCAAAGACCACCAAACCAGCTGGAGCTTATAAACCAAGGAAGACTAAATCCCCAACCAGCTCTAGGGTGTGCACATACAGATTATTCATTCCCGTTGCTCCTACATTTTTCATCAGTGAGAAGCATAAATCAAGAGCTGAGTTAGATTATGAAAAATAATTAGGAAATCAATAAGGAGATTACAATTCACATCTCATTAATCCTCTCATAGGCAGAATAGATTAGAGAAGAGCTAAAACAAAAGATTAAGTGCTTTAAAATATACTACTGCAACCAAGACAAGCAGCATCTTCGGGGAAGAGGCAAAAGTAAAATTTTAGTTCTCTCCTTAAAGTAATAAAATTTTTAAAATACATTGTTTATAATTGGCTTAGATTATTTTAAGCACATTTCACTTATTGAGAAAGCTTAATTATCTACAATTTACTGTAGTCTCTGGCTGAAAATGTAAAGTACAGGCAGTCAGGCTTTTTATTGCTCTTGCACTGAAATGTTTTATAAACAAATTACATCCAGGTGTCTCCCTGCTGTTGTTTTGCCACTCACAGCCATACAGGTCCATATGGGAGCTTGCTCAGGGAACTAGGTAATACACAGGTTTCCTGCTATATTCCTTAAAATACACAACTCATCCTGTTACCAGTGGGAACTATTAAGGCAAATCACCAGTATGCACACTGAAAAAGAGCCAGGACTGCAAAAAATACTTAAATTATGGCCTTATTTTAGTCCAGTTAAATGATCCCCAACTGCTTAGCATACACCTGCCACGTCCCACAGCACGTGTTTCAACTCCTTCCCACACTGAAGGAAAATCCTCCTTGCATGACCACTGTGAATGGGCTGGACATGTAACCAGATCTGTCTGTTTACTGTGATCATATACACAAGTTTATTCAACAGACAAAGAGAACAGCACAAAACACATAGATATGGAACACACCTATATTCTTCCTTAAAGCAGCAACATCCAACCCTCTGGTTTTCCTGTCAGGCAGTTGACTAGGCCCTGAAAAGTCCACTACGGTCACACAGGATTTATACCAACACCACAATACAAATGGTTGATATGCAGCTCCAGAAAATGCATATGACTCCTGAAGTGCTAAAAAGCTCTGGATTAAGGCTACACATTAAGTGCTATAGATTAGGGAAGGAATAACCACAGAACAATTCTGGTACCAGCTAAATTGGCCAGAAACCAGCAAGAGAAAGGGGTGCAGATTCACATGGTTGATGGTGAAAAATCTCCAAAACTGATGTGGAAAAGGAAGAGAAAAACAACTAGAAATGGGAACTTCCTGGCAACTGAATACCTGTATTTATACTACAGCCAATTTGGGCCAAGGTCACTACACCTTAGTGAGCAGTAAAGAGTGGAGTGACAGTACTGCAAAGGGAAAGCAGACAGAGAAAGACCTGTGAAACCTTCTCTCTGGTCAATATACACTTAAACTATCAATTTCTTTCTGTACACATTCAAAAAGCTTCTGCCTCTTACTTACTACTCAGGAGAATTTCTGATTGCAAAGCAAAATCTGTTTTTTTAGCAGGCAGTAGGAATCCTTCTCCATCCTTTATCAGCATGGCATAACCAGTCTTCGAAAACACCAGAGTCAGATTTAACCATACAGTTGGGTAAAGCCCATCCTAACCACCAGCATTAGTTTTACCATGCACACAGCCAGGAAGTCCCATTATTGCACTGTTCCATGCTGACACAGACCTCCACTCATGGTGTCTGCCCAGGACAGCCCCTGAGTGACAGCTGTGCTCTGCAGCCTGCAGGGAGAAGGATATGGAAGCAGTGGAAACAGGTCAATAGAGGCTTCCCCTCCACTGCCTGCGCTGCAGCCAGGAAGGGGCTTTGCTTTTCTCTATAAGGAAGAAGACATGTCTGGGTTTGTTGTAGCTGGTTTTTAAATAAATGATAGTGTCAAAGAAACTGTTCTCATCTGGGACAAACCTCAGCCTCGAGTGTCTCCAGATCTATGGAATAGTGTTACTACAGGCATTTAACAAAATGAGTGTGCACAGCAGAGAAGGCAGAGCCAGAGACCTGGAGGGCTGAGCACGTTACGTTTACGTCATGAGATTAAATGTTCATTTAATGTCTCTTCATTCAGTTTGGTTTTGGAAGATCCTCAGAGGAGCCAAAGCACTGAACAAGCACTCCCTGAAGCGTTCAACAGCTGAATAAATGGAAGGTAATGCAAAATACATGGCAAGAAAACAGCAGGTGGCATTCAAGTGAAAAACAACAACCCACAACGTTGACATGATTTTCAGATATCTAACATTCTCATGCTACCCAAGACCTCTGTGAAAACATGCCTGGCATACATATAATCATTTTCCTTTAAGAAAGGCCTAATGCAGTGCTCTCAAACAGTCATCACACCAAAACTAAATGCTCATCAGGTGCTTAAGGAACATACTGCTGAGCAGTTTCGTGGTGCCAGTGTAACACAATTTTTCAGAACTACTGGAAGTCATCTCCCATATGCTTCATGTTTAAACATAAATAATTTTTGTTAGCAATAGCTTATGTATAACCAGCAGAAAGCAATACCTATCCAAAGGAAGTTTTCACTATGAAATAGTGGTCAGATGTGTCAGGACCACAAATATGGTAGCTGAATCTCTCACTTCACACTTGCCATCTGACTGCACAAATAGCACGTGGCTCACAAGAAGTTTAGATTAATGCATAAGGCTAAAAAAAAGTATTTTCATTTTAACTACCAAAAGACTGCAAAAAAGCAGATAAAGATCATTACACCCTCGATATTTTGCGTTGGTCTGACAGTACCAGCAGTCCAGATGACTTTAGTCCATTTTTGGTGGTCCTGTCACTGGGCACCACTGGAAAGAGCCTGGATCCATTTGCACCATCCCATCAGGTATTTCTATATGTTGATGAGATCTCCCTGAGCCTCCAAGCTGAACAGTCCCCTTGGCTGATGCTCCAGTCCCTTTACCATCTTAGTGGTCCTTTCTTGGACTCTCTCCAGTATGCCCATGTCAGTCTTGTACTGGGGGAGCCCAGAAATGGACACAGTACTCCAGGGATCAAGGTGAGACTGACTGGCCTGGGTCTTGGAGGCCAGTCAGGAGGTCCTGAGACTGGAGGCCCTGGGTCCTCCTTCTGGTCCTTCTTGAAGTTAGGAAAGATATTTGCTGTACTCCAGTCCTCAGGCACCTCTCCCAGTCACCACAATCATTCAAAGATTATCGAGAGTGGCCTTATAAGGACATCAGCCACATACCTTTGCACTCATGGGTGTATCCCATCAGGACCATAAGGTATTCCCTGACCTCATCCTCTTCCACCAAGGGCACATCTTCCTTGACCCAGCCTTTCCCCCTAGTCTCTGGGGCCTGAGACTTCTGAATGCTGGTCTTGCTAGTAAAGAGTGGGGTGAAGGCAGCATTCAGTACCTCAGCCTCTACATTTACCTGTCCTACTGTCACCAGGAAAACTGTCCCTTTCAGCAATGGGCCCACATTTTCCCTACTCTTCCTTTTGTCACCTGCGGACCTCTAAGTCCTTCTGTTGCCTTTGACATCCCTCAACAGAGTCCACTCTGGATAGTGCCTCTGTATTCCTTCCTGGTGACTCTCCCTGTTTCCACCTTCTGTTTCCTTCTTGTGTTTTAGTTTGGCAGCTGTTCATCCACACAGGTCTTCTGGCATCTTATGCCTGACTTCCTGCTCATGGGATGAACTGCTCTGGGACAAAGTCTCTGCCCTGACAGGCACAGCTGCTCCAACACCTGCAGCCAGTGGGACACATGCAGTTCAGTGAAGGACTGAAGGAGAGAAAAAGGCACATGAGCACTTTCCTGCTACCTGCAGGTCTCTGGCTCTGGCTGGCATCTAGGAAAGCATGGATGGGTTGTAGAAAAGCAAGGCCTCTACTGTTTTTCATTATATGGTGATAAACAATGGCCCCACACAACATTCTCAATTTCTCCCTGCTGACTGGAAGAGCTACCTGCATCAGGAAAATACAGCCTAACTCACCATTATTCTTACCTAAGCAAGTAAGGCACCAAGGTCATTATTAAGGTCTTAAATTCTGTGTACAATTCTTATCCTTTTTATCTCTGAACTGTCAATGGAGTTGCTGCTTACTTCAACTCTTCCTGTTTTCGACTTTGCGTATTTTGTTTTTAGACATTTAGACAGTTCCATTAAAAATAATCAACTGTTATTTCCTGGCAATAACTGATGAGGAAATGAGCACTCAACTATATTGAGTTCACAAAGAAAAACACCAAGAAATCTCATCTGTTCTCTTGCTTTCAGGAATTATCAGCAGTACCTGAAAAGTCAGATTAAGATTTCTATCACTTTCTCAGATCATATCCAAGAACATAATTAACCTTACAATAAGATTAAAAATTCAGCTTTATTTCTTGTCCAGTACTCAGAACAAACAATGCAACCTTTTCTTTGCAATCACCTTTTTCTAGGCTTGAAGACATTTATCTCCCCTGCAGTCTCATTTCTAACTCTTTCTTCAGCTTTCCCTGCTCTTGAACTTAAAATAACTTCCCTCTCCTCTAGGCTCTGTCCAGCTGCACCTTCTCACTCTGGAGTATGATGTCTGCTCTTCTACTGCTTTCCACCTAAGGCATTTCCAGCACCACAGAGAGTATAATCATAGAATCATAAATGGTTTGGGTTGGAAGGGACTTTAGAGATCATCCAGTTCCAATCCCCCTGCCATGGGCAGGGACACCTTTCACTACACCAGTTGCTCAAAGCCCCATCCAACCTCTAGCCTTGAACATTTCCAGGAGTGGGGCATCCACAACATCTCTGGGCAACCTGCTTCAGTGCCTCAGCACCCTCACAGTAAAGATTTTCTTCCTAATACCTCATCTAAACTTGCCCTCTGTCAGTTGGAAGTAATTTGCCCTTGTCCCAGCACTAGACTCCCTGACAAAAAGTTCTTCCCCATCTTTTCTGTAGTTTCCTTTCAAATACTGAAAGGTCCCTATAAGGCTTCCCCAGAGCCTTCTCTCTTCTCCAGGCTGAACACCTCAACTCTCTCAGCCTGTCCTCACAGGAGCAGTGCTCTGTTCCTCTGATGAACTTTGTGGCTCCAACAGGTCCACATCCTTCTCATCTTCGAAGCCCCAGAGGTGGACACAGTACTGCAGATGGGGTCTCATGAGTGTGGAGTACTGAGAGAGAATCACCTCCCTTGACCTGCTGGTCACACTTGTGATGCAGCCCAGGACATATTTGGGTTTCTGGGCTGCAAGTACACACTGTTGGGTCATATTCAGTTTTTCCTCCACCAGTACCCCAAATCTTTCCCTGCAGAGCTGCTCTCAGTTCATGTATTGCCCATTCTGTACCCCTGTTTGCCCTGACCCAATGTGAAGGAATGAAACTTTTGCTTTCAGATATCTGAAAATGTAGAGAGAGGTAAAAACAAACATAAGCAGAAGCTACAAACATTTCAACTGATCATATTAGAATAGGACTAAATAGTTCTCCAGTAAGACCCTGCTTAAATAACACTCACAATAAGGCAAACTTCTGAAATAACCCATTTTTACATAAACCTCATTAAAATCATCACAATTCATTAACAATTTGAAGCTTGTCTGCTGCTCTATGGCAACCATGCTAGGTACACACACCTGGCCTCAGGAGAAAGTGAGACTTAAGAGCATCTAGTTATCTAAAATACACCACTACTTCACAGGAAAGTCTGTCAGATATGAATCATGAAAAACATACACCATCTCTATAAAAATACACTTCTGTACCCAGTGAACCAGTTCTTATCTCCCAACATGATTCAAATCAGGCACACACACACAAACCAAAAAAGTTGAGGCTGACTGGATTTTAGTATCCTGCTTGGAGAGAGACTTACACTAAACGTTCCAGGGAATTAATGCTTCCAAACTTAATGCCTCACACTTCTCCCCTTCTCTGCCTCCCTACAAGTTCCACTGAAGAATGAAGATCACACTTTTGCTGGAAAAGACACTCATACAAAGTCTGAAATTAAAATCTGGCTAAAACAACTTAGGAAATTGTTTTAAGGATAGGTAAGAACAATAGATTTCTGCTCAGTTCACATATGATGTTTGGCAGTAAACCCCACTCTAACAGCTCTGATTTAGCCATGCCCACTGCACATGAAAAAGCATCATTAAACATACAAAACATTCTTCTTTCCTTTTTTGTGCCCATGAATACTGCATAGCAGATAAATTTATAGCACATGCCTTTTAGCTAGCTCTACCACAGGAGCTGGTTAATGCAACTCTTCTTCAAACCCCTTGAGTTTGCCAATAGGCAAAATTATACAAAACCAGCTACTCAGTCACATTTTGTTCTTTACCAGTCCTTTACAAATTCAACAGTCTATGTTAGCATCCAGCTACAGAGAACAGCAGGAAGAAATATTTTAAGTGTTTTTGAAAACTGTGATAAAGACACATATCTGGAAGCAGAGTAGAAGTGCACACAATCCTGAGCACTCAAGTCACATTTGAAAAAGGAGAAACAAATGCTTTTGTTTTCACATGAAAATGGTGTCTAGGCTATGACAATGGACATAAATCCTAAGGTTTGCAGACATCACGTTGTTTCAGTCTCACAACAGAACATTCAAACAGACATTTCTGTGCTCCACAGTGCCATAAAACTGAGTGCATTTAGTACTAAATGCTTCCTTTCAGGTTAAGTTGGAAAAGAAAAGTAATCCTGTGAAAACTCCAGAATCATACATTGTTTCTACAAATGAGTTTGAGGAGCACCATTAAATTCCCTTCTCTTGATGCTGACAAATCCCACTCTGGTACCTCAGGCACATCTACTATGCACAACGTCATGCTAAATATCTTGGTGAGAAAGCAAGCCATGCTGTTCCACATTTGATCCCTTCTTCTACATAATTTTTAACATTTCAGTGCATTCTGCTGATAAATATTCAAGCAAGTTCAAAGACTGGCCATGGATTTCTACCTTAAATTTTCCAATTCCAAGTGCAGGAACTGAATGTCAGGGTTACGCAACTGCTGGTCCAAGTTCTAGTTCATGCCCATTTCTCATTTGCAGTCTTGCACAAAATAATTAAACACTATAATCACACCACTTTTTTACTTCGAGAAGTTTAAACAGACCAAGTCCTTAAAACCTCTCATTCTGAAGCAACTTTTCCATTCTCCTGTGTTCTCCTGACTTTCCTCTGAACCCCATATAACTTTTATCCAGGTTACAAGGTGAAGGCCAAATGAGAGGCACCTTCAACTCCTGTCCAGCCTCAGTTCCTACACTAGACAACACTGTCCTGAAAGGCAGTATCTGCAAGGTCTTGTTAATCCTAAAGCAAACCAGAATATTCTCTTTGCCCCAGTTTACCAAGCAACCCATGTAATCAGCATGAGAAACCTGTCTCCTGCTGCCTACCCATGTCCCTGTCTCTAATCTGGGGAGATTATCTGATTATATTACATTTTCTTTGAGATTACTGATTAGAAGTGGAAGACAACCAAGAATTAAATCTTGCACTATGCTGTAAAGATCATGTGCTTGATAAAAAAATGCTTGATAGAAGTTCTGTTTGTTGCTCCTGGTTATGGCACTCAGGAAAAAGAAAAATGTCACTAAAAATCTGGACAGGTTTGTTTAAAGCAAATAAATATATTCATGCTTTCTTGTATACAAACAAGGCAATACCACATATTGAGAATAATATCCTTTCTACCACATTTTTATCAGTTTACTAAGTACCATATTTAGTCAAGAAACCAGCACAAAGATAAACTACATTTCCAAACATTTCTCTCACAAACAGTCCAGTGACCAAATCTTTATCATAGAAATGCACTTTAAATGATCTCTATACATATAATCCAATATGCTTTAGCAGACACTCCATTATTTAACCAGTCACCAGTCATCATCATCCAGGGTATCACCCTTCATTTTGCTTTTTCTCACTCTTAAATATTTAGCCTTCTTTTGGATTTCCTGCATCCCACAGCTAAATCACTCCTTTAACCAGCAGGTCACACCATGTGTTCCAGGAATAGAAACAAGAGAAGGCTCTTCTCTTCTTTCTCAGGCTGCTTTGTTCTCCTGAGCAGACAGTAACCACGTGCAGAAGTCATCACTTCCAGCTTCAGAAAGGCAGGAAAGGGGGAAAACCAGAATCCAATCCTATCCATTCTGTGCATTATTACCACTGGCCCATTTATTTTGGGGCCAAATGGAAACTTCATGATTCTAGATTTGAATTTACACCCAAACAGGATACATTAAAAAACTCAGAGAAGCTAGAAATTAGCTACTGCTCTTCACATCTAGCTCTGCAGGTAGGTCCATCTAGATCAATTTTGACCTAAGTTGGTAGAATAGCAGACAACAAGCACTCAAATACTATTCCTCCTGGTACTTTGAACAGAGACTTCCACAAGAGACAAGAAAATCTGGGCCAACCTTTGCAATTTTAGCTAACACATCCAAATGTAAATGCACGTACACAGCTCATTTCCCTCACCGCTTATGGGTGGCTCAAGGCACGGTGGGAAGTTTGCTCTGTCTGTAGTTTTATGTTTCAAGAGAAATGTGGTTTCAGTCTCTAAAACCCAACCTAGCATATTGCTCAAATCAGCCCTCAGCAACACATATGGGAAGGGAGAAGAAAGCATAAAGAATAAAATCTGCTGAAAAACACGTGTATGTTTTGAGGTACTCAGAACTCCTTTTCATCATCATCCCTTCCATTTTCTGTATTATGAAAACTAATAGATAAAGAGAAACCAGCACAGATCACATGTCCCAAACCATAAATTCAAGAAAGAACACACACAATTCTTTCCAGTTCAGCCAAGCGTGACAGAAAGCCACACAAAAGCTTCTAAATTACCTTAAAAGGGTCCCCAGAGGGGGAGGTTAGCCCAGTACTCCTCAGAAGCCAGTCTGGGTTAAGGAAACCTGCACACATGCAGTCTGCACCAGCATGTCCACCACCAACACCTTGCTCTTTGAGAGCACTGCAGCTTTCAGCAGTTTGTTTGTGTGTCCCAAAGCTGCCTCTCCCAGCTGCAACAGGCATGGCACTGGGATTGCTTCCAAACTATCATGGTTATAAAGAGGGAGCAGGTCAGGGGAAGGGATTATGCTACTCTTCCTTGAGGAGAGCAAGGCATGCAAGTTCCAGCTTGAGACTAAAAACCAGATCAGCCCAGGTAGCAATATTAGCTTTTCTTGATCCCATTCTTGATTCTGAGGATGAAGCTTCAGGCTCAAAGTTTTTAGCTGCTCTAAGAGAGAAGCATCTGCTGTAGCCTTTCCTAAATATCAGCATCATAAAGCAGTAAGAGGTCTTAAAAAGGATGACTTAAAGCCCAACAACCTGAGAACATAAAGAAAAATTATATTCAGCAAAACTTGCTAAAAAAGAAAGAACAAAAGAATATAAATTAGAAGAAAACAGGACTACCATCACCAGGGGAAGACAGAATCCAATTTAGCTGGATAACCAGAAGGGAAGACCACACCATCTCCTAATTCTATACCCAAGCAGTGCAAAAGTTTGAAGAGACAAGAAAAATATAACCATTATGGATAAAGCATCTCCAGCCCTGAGTACTGAGAAGTGTGTATTCCTTCTGTGTGAACTGACAGCTCCCTGAAGGAAAATACCCATGTGCATGCACATATTTACACATACATATGACTAAATAAATAAACTAATAAATAAATTTCACCTGAGCAGGAGGTACAGCAGCTGCTGGTAAAGGATTAGAGATCATTGGACCGAAGATATCCAGGTCATCGTTCAGCGCTGTGACAGCAGCAGTGCCTCCATTTGTAACTGATGCTTCAGTTGGACCATCTTAAAAAGACAACAGAATCACACTTAAATTGGAAATTATTAATATTTTAACAGCATGATAATAATTAAAGCTGCCTATTCCCTCCATGTACTCAATTTCTGAGATTTTTCAGACTGGGATATTGCTCAGACTTTGTAAGGACTTCTTTCCATTTCCCTAAATGGTACATTAATGTGCTTCAGAAAAAAACCCAACCACCAACGACAAAACAAAACACTTAAGACTTCCCTAAGGACAGCCATGCCAACTTATCACTACACGCATTTTTCAAGAGTCTTTTTTAAGCACACCAACATTTTTAGTAAGAATTTAAAGAGACGTCTTATGGAGAAGGCCCAAATTTGGTAGCCATGTATCAGGAAAAAGGTCATTCTTCCCCCTTTTCCAGAAGTACTTTGCATGGACTTTATTCTATAGGTCCACATGAACATCCCTGCAAGGCACACTGGGCTAATTATCCATAAGAACCTATGGCTCTTGCTCTGTACAGAGGGGAAACTTCCACAGTAACCTCCTTAACACATGAATACAATTACTGATCTAGGTGAAAGTGGATACATGCAGGGCAAGAAAAGGGCTGAAAGATTAAGCTTTAAGGAGAAATGCAAGAAAATACTCTAGAATATATAGGGACAAAAACATCTCAACAGGTTTTTAAGGGAGAGAGCAACCATTTCTCATTTGATTTTCAGCTGTTCAAAAAAAAGTGGCAAGAACTGGCTAATAAACTTATACCTAAGCATGTCACAAGTGGGTTATGCCATTACACAGAGCTGAACAAATACAAAGGTGACTCCAGATTCTGCTGAACACTGTGATGACTGCATGGTGTCAACAGCAAATTTAAGAAAGCTTTTTTAGGCAGAAGATAAAGTTAAGTCTCAAATTATCCAATCTCACTGCAGAATTCATATTTCTCAGGCAGAACAAATGAGCTGAATTAAGTCAAAACTTTGTCTGCAAACAAAACACTGCCGTAACTGGCATGGTTTTTTATATACCACGGGAGGATCAGTATCCTGAAATCCCTAGATTACAGCACACTGAACAAACATCGTGAGACTGACAAGTTTTTTGACTGCTAACTCCTATGAGAAAGCACTACATTCTGAAACATCCATTCCCATCATCATCACTCAGAGATGCTGGGCTGGTTTTGTCTGGAGTAGAGTTAATGTTCTTCACAGTAGTCAGCACATGGCTGTGTTTTGGCTCTGTGCTGAACACAGTGTTGGTAACACAGGGCATTTCCATCATTGCTGAGCAATGCTTGCACACGGTCAAGGCCTATTCTGCTCCTCACCCCACTCACCAGCGAGGAGGCTGGGGGTGCACAGGGAGTTGGGAGGAGACACAGCTGGGAGAGCTGACCCCAACTGACCAAAGGGATATCCCATATTATAGGGCCTCATGCTCAGCATACAAAGCTGGGGGAAGAAGGAAGAGAGGGATGTTTGGAGTGGTGATCTTTGCTTTCCCAAGTCACTGTCACATGTGATGGAGCTCTGCTTTCCTGGGGATGGCTGCACACCTGAAGCCCAGGGGAAGTGATGAACAATGCCTCCTTTTGCTTTGCTTGTGTCCATGGCTTTAACTTTACCTATTAAACCGTCTTTATCTCAGCCCACAAGTTTTCTCACTTTTACCCTCCTGATTCTCTTCCCCATCCACCAGAGGGAGGGAGCAAGTGGCTGTGTGGGGCTTAGTTGCCATCTGGGGTTAAACCATGGCAGCTGTCTTCTCATTTCTGTCTGCCTTCCACTTCCAGTGGAAGGAGCACTCCCTTTAGCTGTCTTCCATTAAAGTATTTATTTATTCTTAAAGCTAAATACTTTCACTGTCATATATTTGAAAACTTGGCACAAAAATCATAAATGTCAAACTCTGACAATGTGCAATACATCTGAAGCTACATCCATGCATATGTGAATTCAGCCTTACTGTAGAGATATGAACCACTGTGCCTTAGTACATATAGGAAATGTGGCACAGGTGTAGCTGCTACAGAAACCACAACTTTGAACTATTTGTAAAACCCCCAGCATATTTTTAAGCACTTAGTATACCTTTTTCATACCGGGAAAGGGAACAACCAAATGGAAGGGTGCAGATTTGCAGTTCCTTGGGAGCTATATCTGCTCATTTTTGTGGCTACTTCAGATACACAAATTGTTTTATACTCCAATTTAGTACCAAACATCATCATTGCTAATTCTCAAATTTGTGCATGCTACCAATGGCAAACAGACCCAGTAACAAGGAGCAAAATACCCTGAAGGCAGGGATATGAGCAGGACAAAATGAGTGGCATTTGGAAGAAACTGAACCTCAGGAGGTATTTTTATTGCCTAAACTTGTGCAAAGTTTGTGAGGATAACTGTGCTGTCTGCCAGAACCAAGACCGACCCAATAACTTCACAAAGGCAAAGTGGCCATAGGAAAGCCTTGACAATATTAGATCTATGATGAGTAAACAGTGAGTGGCCTGAAGAATGACCATAGGACTGAAGCAGCACCTCAGCCAGTTTTATTATTCTGTTGTGATTTGAGCTTGCTGGGGGACTGCCATTCCAATGATTCTGAAAAGCAAAGATACAAACTCCTCTATGATTATGACAAAGCTACTTAAATCTTAATGCAAAGGTCTCCTCCCCCCCTTATTTCTGCTCTGATGAAGGGAAGTCAGTGGACAGCAAAATGACCATGCCTATAATCTGCTCCACCACTCCATGCACACCAGTGCTTTGAGATGAGTGTGAATAAATAGACTGGCATTTTAAGAAACAAGCTTCTTTTGAGGTCATTCTGCAGACAGGCAGCTCCAAAAACATCTCCCCAAAGGTTCACTGTTTCAGATAAATTTAGGAATGAACCATGCATAATTTCCATGCAAAAGGATTGTCAGGAATTAATAATTTAATGTTCTCATTTTCTCAGTGAGGCACATGTATTAAAAAAATATCTCTCTTGTCATATTCCAAAGTGGTTCAGTCTCCCTGAATGTAAAAGAGTTTAACATAGAAGACTGAAAATTTAAATGCAATCATTTACTAAAACAAGCATTTCACATATTTAGAACATCCACGACAGAACATATTGGCAAAAACATAGTATTTTTCAAGTATTTAATATGCTGCTTGTAAATGAACACTGAGAAACCCTAGATTTTTGCTAGATTGCTCCCGTAAGAGTGTTATCTGGTGATGTACATACCTTTCATCTCTTACTGAACTTTACACTAAATATAACTATCTCCCTGTCTGTATCAGTGCAGACACCAGACATCCTGAGCTACTGTTTGTGACACAGTTTTAAGCTTGTATGAATGGTATTAATAGATGATCCTGTTTTACTGATTTCTCAAAATATAGCACTTAGAATATTCATGTCTATTAAAAAGCAACTCCAAACATTTCCCCTTCCCTGTACTGAAAGGAAAATAACTAAATATCAGAATATAGAAGAAATCTTACAGTGTTTTCACTCTAGTTTATTACATGTAACAATATTAGTGTCTTCACTATGTGCATGCAGGCATACACAGATATGCACATAATAATCCACAGTTCTTATACAGAGATTATGGATATTCTCAAATTCAACACACCGGGTGTTCCAGGATTAGGAAGTACTCTTTTCCCTCTTCATCAAAAAATATTCCTGTACTCCAGCAGCGTTTTGAGTTCTAGCTTATTCTAAGTATATCACTTTTCACTCACCTTGTGCCACCTACCATTAAAACCTGATTAGGAGAGGTGATGTGTCTTTGACAGAAGGAAACATGGCTATAGCCTTTCCAGAGAATGGGTAAAAATCAGATGAAGTTCTATAGGCCTGTCTGAGTATTCTGAGAAATTCATAGCTTCAACCATCACAGAGTTACTTGGAAGCAATTAACTTTTAATAAACAGTACTTCCATCATTTCTCCGCACAATGCACCTGTAGCTAGGAATGAAGTATTGGATGTGGCAGAAGCCACAGCAATGAGAGCATATGCAAGGCAGAGCTTTCATGCTCAGTCGGAGAAGGTAACGTGAAAAGTCAATAGATGCTGCTCTTCATCATTGTGCCTAGTTGTGGCCCCAGAACTTCTCTTCTTGCAATTTATGACAGTATGATAGATAATATCTGGATGCTGTCTGCCACTCTGTGCAACAACAGATGCTGCTTCTGATTTCAGATTAGGAAGTCTTGCTTCAGTGAAGGGTTGCAGTGAAGTTTACCTTTACAGTCCTTTCTGTATATAATTTACTAATGCTTTGCTAGATTCATCTGTACCAACAGTGAGAATGACCAGCAGAAGAGCTTCAAAGGGACAGCAAGAGAGGAAACAGCAAGGAAGAAAGAAAGGATTGAGAACAGCCCTGCAGAGAAGGACTTGGGGATCCTGGACAGGAGCTGGCAACGTGCACTTGCAGCCCAGAAACCCAACTGTATCCTGGGCTGCACCCAAAGCAGCGTGGCCAGCAGGCCAAGAGAGGTGATTTTACCCCTCTTCACTCTTGGGAAATTCCACCTTGGGTACTGCATTCAGCACTGAGGCCCTCAGGACAGGAAAGGCATGGACCCTTGGAGCAGGTCCAGAGAAGGGCCATGAAGATGATCAGAGAGATGGAGCACTTCTGCTGTGAGGAGAGGCTGAGGTTGTTCAGTCTGGAGAAGAGAAGGCTCCAAGGAGACCTTAGTGCAGCCTTCCAGTACCTAAAGGGGGTGTGGTGTGTAAGGGGCAATGGTTTTAAACTAAAATAGGATGGATTCAGACTAGATATAAGAAAGAAATTTTTTTACAATGAGGGTTTTGAAGCACTAGAACAGGTTTGCCAAGAGAAGTGGTAGCTGCCCCATTGCTATAAACATTCAAGGCCAGGTTGGATGGGGTTCTGAGCAACATGATCTAGTTGAAGATGTCCCTGCTCATTGCCAGGAGGTTGGACTAGATGGCCTTTAAAGGTCCCTTCCAACCCAAACTACTCTATAACTCTACAAGTCTATGATCTATATATGCATATATGATACTTAGGTACTTATGAATGTATCTTTACTATTTCTTAAATGCAACTTTCTGACTTATGACCAACTACTCTTTTGGTACTTACCAAACAGTACCAACAAAAGTACCTCTCTCAGTTATGCAACATTCAGCTACATTTCATACCATGATTAAGATCTCAAAACTTCACAGAATTCTTTCAGAGAATATTTCCCATGCAGAAACAAATCAGCAGCTTTTAGCATATCATACTTTACCTCCAACCATGCCAGATGTCACACCCCACACATCAAATAAATCTCATTTCTTCTAGACATTCATTGTAACTTACTACAGTGGTTATTCCAGAATATGCAATTGTCTGTTTTATGAAGAGCACATCTAAACATGGGAAATGGAGCGGAATACCCAAAATGCACTTTACTTCTTCCTGATAATTTTGTAAGGTAATATAATTTAGAAATACTAAATTTTCACTTTTCTTTTCTGCATGCTGAAATAATTTCTAAGTAGCATACCTTGACAAACACCATGATTCAAAACTGCCTGTATAATATTCCAACATTCCACATTTGTACACAGCTATCACACCATTGTTACAAGATTTAAAAAAAATATTTACATCAATCTGCCATAAGTGGAGGCACCTCCCTTGTAAGACAAAACCCCCAAAAGGAGCATAGAGCACAAGGTTAACACCAGAGATGAAAATACAGCACCGACAATCACTTAAGTGCTGAAGAACTGTGGTTTACACACTATGACTTTCCAACTGAAAAATGTTTCCTATAATTATCCTATTAAAAATTCATGCTATAAAAATCCCATATTATTGACTTTTACATCAATTTTAAGTCTCCACATTTTCAACAGGGCACTCTCTCAGCATGGATAAGAGCCAAATAATTGCAGAGAGGACTGAAAAAGCAGCTTCAGGTTTAACCTACAGAAAGAGGCTGTGACTTCTCACTGCTAGGAAAGAAAGGGAAGGAATTTGGATTTGCACAGCAAGAGCACTAACACTGCTGCTTGTGGAGAACATAACAATATTTAGCTTGCACATGTCCATTTCCCCTCCTTTCTGTGTGTGGAGTACTGAATTAAAATCCACTCTGAATCAAAAGGGCAAAAGCCAAGAATGTTGGACTATCAGAAAGTGGATATCCAAACAGCATCTCAAAAATAAACCCCTGACCAGGAACTCAAGGGAACTACATGAATCCATTTCAAAAGGCTCAGAAGAAACACAAATGTGATAGTATGGGCACTGAGGATACTATGCCTCTTCTCCTATTACAAGATGTATAGACACGATTTGCCTAGGTATATTATCCTGAAAATTTTGCAATTTGTAAAGAAAAATGAAAAAGAGTTTGCTTTTAGAAAATCATCTAGCTACAGTTTTCACTGGGTAAGTCCTATCTCAGAAGTTCACCTTCTGATGAGGTTACTATTTCAAAACCAACTGAGACAAAAAGAGCAATTACCCAAAGGTTAACCTCCCCACACCCAAAACTAGCACTGAGGGTTACTTCAGAAAATACTTTGCAAGAAGAGTGTTCTGAAAGCTGAATTAGTCTAGAATGAATTTTGAGCCATCAAAATTACTTAACCTGCTATCACCAGCGATTTTGACCTATCCAAGTAAAAGCTACAAGAGAATGAATTTTCATTAGAAACATGTCCACTCAGTAAGAAGAATGAGCTATGCAATCATATATGTTTGAATGTTATTTGGTATGACATATCAAACATTTTAATCAGCAGTGCATCACTGCAGCAACAGAGGCAAATGGGATTCTGGGCTGCATCCACGGGGGTGATGAAGGGACTGGAGCACCTCACTGATGAGGAAAGGCTGAGGGAGTTGGGCCTGTTCAGTCTCATGAAGAGACGACTGAGAGGGACCTCATTAATGTATTCAAGTACATGAATGGGAAGTGCCAACAGGATGGATCAGACTCTGCTCAGTGGTGGGAACCAATAAAACAAGAGGTAATGGGCAAAAACTGATGCACAGGAAGTTCCACCTGAATACAATGAAGAACTTTCCTGTGCAGTCGCTGAGCACTGAACAGACTGCCCAGAGAGGTCGTGGATTCTCCCTCACTGAAGATATTCAATATTCTGGACATAATCCTGAACCATGTGCTCTGGGATGGCCCTGCTGGAGTAGGGAGGTTGGACTAGATAACACACTGTGGTCCCTTCCAACCTAACTGATTCTGTGACTCGGTGGGTGTTAGTAGCTGAGACACAGATGTGATCACCCCACTCATCTCAGTGTTTGCCAGGCTGCACCTGGAGTCTGTGCTCAGTTCTGGCCCCCACAGTTCAAGAAAGATGCAGGCAGACTGGAGAGGGTCCAAAGGAAGGCCAGGAAGATGGCCAAAGGGCTGCAGAACCTGCCCTATGAGGAGAGACTGAAGTTTCTTCTCCCTGGAGAAGGCTCAGGAGGAATCTTATCCCAGCATGGCAGTACTTCCAGGGCAACTACAAAGAGGACAGAGGCTCTCTCTTGAAAAGGAGCCACATGGAGAAGACAGGGAGCAACAGGTACAAGTTGCACCAGGAGAGGTTTCATCTCAACATAAGAAATACACTTTTTACAATGTGGTCAGTTACTGGAACAACCTCTCCACGGATGTGGTGCAGTCCCCATCACAGAGGTTCTCAAGATGTGACCAGACAGGATGCTAGTTAATCTCCTCTAGGCTCCCCCTTCCCAGTTCCCTTCCAGCCTGGGCTATTCTATGGTTCTATGAGATATTGGGTTGATGTGGTCTCTCTGTTAATACTATCTGAAGTAGTCTACTGCAGGCAGTAATTAAAAGACAACTCTCCAAATTGAAATATGCAGGTCTGCTCTCATTAACACATCTCATCTGCATCTCAGTGGATTCCAAGTGCTACTGGCTTACTGCACCTCCTTTCAATTTGTTATTTAAAAGAACTTTCAGCATTCCCTCCTCTAAGATTATGGGGTTTTAACATACATATTATAAACTTTGCCCTTTGTATGCCTCACTGAAGCAGCACAGCTGTTGAACATCAATTATAATGATGCTCTTCCCACTGCATACAACGTCTCAAGTTCACCAATGTAATCCGAGTTCATTATCATAGCATGAAACAGTGTTACCAAGATTCTTTTCAAATTACAGCCAAAAGAATTAGCAATCTCAAACCCACATACTGATTAAATTTTAGTTCTTAATTAGGTTGTTGGTCTGCTAAAGGAAAATAAAGGAGAATCAGCTTTCCATCAAGCCTAAATTACCTTTGCTTTTAAAAACAGGTCCATTCTCCATTCATTTTACTGTGTTAATTAAGATTTGCTTGCCTATAGTAGCATATTACTTGGAATGAGATATAGGCCACAACACACATATAACTGTACAAAAATAGTACTCTACAGTTGACTCTACATCCGGAGGGAAAATAACATGTATTTCTGGATAACAGTGTGAATTCTAAACCACAGAAGACATTTATTGTTTTATTGCAACATAATTCATCCCTTACAATGACGAAACATTTTCTACAAAGTCAAATTTTTATAATCATTACATTCAAATTACTTATTAGCCTCATTCAATATCCTGTAGAAATTATGTAGAAAATGAAGAATAACCATTCTATTGATATAAATTTTCTTTATATCCAGAAAAAATTCCTAACACTGAATAACAAAATTAAAGTTCCTGTAGTATTTTATCTTCCACAATGACGAAACATTTTCTACAAAGTCAAATTTTTATAATCATTACATTCAAATTACTTATTAGCCTCATTCAATATCCTGTAGAAATTATGTAGAAAATGAAGAATAACCATTCTATTGATATAAATTTTCTTTATATCCAGAAAAAATTCCTAACACTGAATAACAAAATTAAAGTTCCTGTAGTATTTTATCTTCCATTCCATTTAATATCCAGAAAAAATTCCTAACACCGAATAACAAAATTAAAAGTTCCTGTAGTATTTTATCTTCCATTTCCATTTAAAGATTCTATCAAATGGCAAAAAACCACATTTAGAGCAACACTTAATAAATGAAAGACATATTTTATAAGTAGGCCTATACACAACAGTATAGGCACAGTGCAAATTAAGTAATTTTACTTCAAACGAGTTGATTTACAAGACAAATACAGTTACCTGCCAGTCAGAAAAGAAAAAGGGGCATTAGATAAAAATGAATGATGGTGGCAGTCAGTGCAGGACACAGAAATGCCCAATATATTGAGTTTTACAAGGTACTACTCGGCTACAGTCCAACAGTTTACTATTCTTTTAACTAATATAGGAATTTTATAAGGTATTTTACAGATACACAATTCAAATGACCTCAGCACTTTCAATAAAAAATACATTTGTGCCATAAACACTGAAACACTACAATCCACAAGCCCTTTGAAGATCACTTTGATAACTTCCCCTTCCCACAGGAGCTCATTACTCTCCTTAGCAAAACACAAGTATTGATATACCCATATCCCTATGGCATCTTCCTTTATAGTTTAAAATTCATAGACTCAATCTTATGGTTTTCAAATTCATCTAACTGTGAGTAAGCACAGAGAAAACAGAAGTACAGCTATAAAATATAAAATGACATATCTGTGTTTGATTTAAAACCAGGTAATCAGGTATTGCTTACCAAGTCCTAATAGGTCAATAGTGGGTTCTGATGACTTTTTTGGACTTGCTTTAGCTTCTGATGGCTGATCCTCTTTCTTCTGTGGCTTTTAAGGGGAAAAAAATAAACACAAGTAACCTTTCTGAAAAGATTCAGTGCTTTAAAAACGCTCATTAATGATGCTCCTTTGGTACCAGAAGTAAAAGCCCTTTTCTGTATTTGTTTATCATAATGAATTTGATTTGTAATGAAGTGTGTGGCAGTTATGGTCAGAAGGGACATGGTTTATGTCTGTAAAAAATTATCCTTGTATTTTCACTGGTATGTAATCAATTTTTAAATAAACCTAAATTTGAGGATAGGTTAAAAATAAGCTGAAGTATTAAACAGAACTACCATTTCATGCACTAGGCAAAAAGCTGTCTATAATTTATCGACTCATTTCAGCAACCAAACTATACAGCTCTGCAGCATTAAAGAGAAAAAAATAATTCATATTTTTAGAAGATTAAATTTAAAAAATTAGGAGCAGACTAATGATGTTGTTTAGCCTTCCTGCAAAGAGCATCTGCAGAACATACAGAATTTACAGATGCTGAGCACCAATGAACACAACCTTTTCCTTTATAAACCTAGAAGCATTCACCTCCTTTGGAAAATGGAGAAGAATGCTCCTAGTACCTTCTTGCCCAGAGATTTCAAAATATAAGATGGTATTGATGTGAAATCTGATTAGGAAAATGACTTCATAAATCTGTTTATAGTTCTTCTCACACCAATATCAGCCTGATCACCTGAAACTATCAAAACAAATTCTGAGAGTGAATACAAACTGATTTAGAGTAGTGACATGACAAATGCATTTCCCTGCATGCCTTTAATATGCATTTACAGTTGTGACAAAAAGGTGAGGTGGACTGGTGCTCAATGAGTGCAGCCTTTACCTGGAACAGATTACCAAGTCATGGGGGTAGAAGAGTCAGGCTGAGCACTGCCCTGGCACCAGCAGAACCTGCTTCACTCACACCTTTGTGATACCTAACGTGGCTCTGACAGAGTCTCCAAGGCTCCTGTGGTTGCTGAAGTCATTAAATCTTAGTATTTAGCATTAGGAGAACTTTACAGTTCTACACAAGGATATAAAAATCACCATTTTTAGGTAATCCTTCTCTTTCCTCTCCTGCAAACTGGGGATAAAGGGTAACAAGCTTGGGGTTTCTAAGCAGTGAGGAAACTCAAGAGAAGGCCCAAGTGAACAAAAGCCTATCACACTCCTGACATGTTGCTCCATTTCATGAAACTTTGTTTTCTTCTCCTTAAACAGCTTAGAAATTCTGAATATAGAACAACTTCTTTCAACTGAAAAGAAAAACTGTCAGAATGATATTAAATGTACAAATTTGCATTAGTCCAGATTAGGTTTCTGATAACTACCTAAAAGCACAAGCTTGAAATAAATTGAAGCTTGACAGGGTTAGATTTGAATGCAAACTTTTCCCAGACACCAAACACTTCTGCATACATTAGTGAGAACTAAACAAAGTTCAAATAGCACTCCCTTTTATTTGGTGCTTATTACTGTTGCAAATTAATCTCATTACCCAAAAATCTAAAAATATAGTAGGAATAATCTCCTTAGCTCCTCTGCTTTGTCAAATGAACATTTTCCATCGTTATTAATGCATTTTCTGTTTTATCACTCTCTAAATAAGGCAACGAAGATACAAGAGACAAAAATATGAATTTCTATAAAAGTAAGATCCTTTAAGTTGCCCTTTTCCAATATCAGTACTATATTTCTTGATCAGCAGTTTCTGTCCCATTTTGCTCCCTTGCCAGCATGTAAACTAATAGATATTAAGGTTACTTCATAGTTAGTTACTTTAAGAAAAACTGCAAAATTATTTTCAAGCTTGTTAGCACAGTAAATACTTTTAGACATTAAAACTGCATTTGTTTCCTTGAAGTAGATTTTCTCCTTGAAGCACTAGTCAATGCTTTTACAGCAACACAGTTCTCACCAACACACTAATCTCCAGTCTGAGATATGAAAAAAAGAGTATTAATCACCCACCATTTACCAATACTTCATCTGTACTATAGGATCACACAAAGCAACATTCAGCAGCTTCTGGAACAAAAAAGAATCTTCCTCTCACCTTTAATTTTACCTGCAATACTGTGTTGTTCCCCCCATTCTCTCACCGTATCAACTACAATTTCCTGGCATTTTCTATCCTCCTGTCTGACATTTCACACAATTCTAGAATTTGGTATGCCTGGTTTCTGGTTAAGATGTTTCATGGCACACGTGAGGGCTTTTGTGCAAACTCAGAAGATGCTTGGTGCTTAAGATCTGCCCTGACTCAGAGAAAGACAAAGACTTCTCTGAAGTCACCTACATTTAGGAACCATTAATTAAGGCATCATTAACAACTAGTAATCCAGTTGAAGAAGGTGTATTGAAAAGCAATGCCTTACTACAGTGTTCTGTATTCCTGGGTCTGGAGCAGAAGACCTCAGGAGGTCCCTTCCAGCCCAATAATTCTGGCAAAACCAAGGTGCTGAAACTTTTGGAAAAGAACAAAAAAGGGAAGTCACACTGGAAATTTTCACTTCGAATCACAAAGAGGAATTCTCTCTTAGAGAGACTAAAGAGTGGAATTTCTTTTCAGCAGTTTTGCTCCAACAGGGCTCATACATGACTAAGCTTTATGTAGAGAGTGGCCTTTGGAGATGTTAATGCCAAGTACCACACAGAGAGCACAGAAGTGTCCAACAGGCAAAAACCTGAGCAACAAGGCAGTGACATTTCTTAAACTTAATGTTTAATTTAGTGTTGTGCTTTATCTATAAATTACTGCATTTTGTAGAGGTGCAAGATAGCATGACAAATGCTTGGGAATCTTGCTGCACTAAGATTCATCTCAGTTTCTATTACCAGCCTGCTTGACTCCCACAGCAATTATTTTTAAGTATTGACACCAGGACTAGATAATCTATTCTTTGTTGAGCCCTCTGGAACAAGATTATATGAAAAACAGGAGACTAAGCAGCGTTACATGACCTAAAAATAGCACTAAAAATCTGATATGAAAAGGGAAGTAGAAGGGAACAGGTACACAAGTTTGTGCATTTATTTTCAAGTGGAGCCTTCAAGGTTACCAGGGCTGCTATTTTCTTTACAACGTTCAAGATTGTCTTAGTAATATATGTGGTTTTATTAAGTGAAGTGTCTGGTTATAGCAACTCCTAGATGTATTTGCTCCAGGTTGTGTATTAACAGCTTCTCATTCAAAATCATTTTTATGGTATTAGCACATTCCTCTGAAACACTGTCCTTGCAGACAGCAGGGCATCAAGCCATCTTTGATATGTAGACCTTGCACTGCCATTTTTCACAGTTGTCACTAATGACCACTACACTATTCTTCAAGGTTGTTCTCATGTTGGAGTACCTATTGATAGCAAGCAATGTCTGCTGTCTTCAATTATTTTGAGATTACTGAAAACAGTTTATTTGCAAATATCACTGAAACTGAAGCCAGAACAACCTCCCAGGGAACTGATTCTTTTTGCATCCTTTACATGATCAGCTTACTACCTAGCATGACTTGGAATTTTCTGCCTTAAGGAAAATGGAGCCCTTGTTTTGAAAAGAGCCAGAATAACCAATTTAAGTTATCCCTTGTTCAG